ACTGCTGAAGAGGCTCACTTTGCACAGGCTTGCTCGAGAGTGCAACCAGTCGATATCTGAATTCATCCTTGTCACTGGAACTGTGGAACTGGGCTCAGGATGTTCTGTTTCTGGGACCGTTGTCATGACCTGTGAGAGACAAGATATGTTGCCTCCTCCTTCAACTTTCCATACTCTTCTCCTAGCAGTGGGCACCTTCGCCGGTGTGGACACGTGGTTTCTCTGGTAGCGGTGACATCATAAAGCAATCAGCCACATCCACAAACCAGTGATGTGTCAGCAGCTGTGCTTTCCAGAGAGAGTGGGCTTAGTGAACAGGCACTGTCCTGTGCATTTAGACAGAAAAAGTGGCTGGAGAATGCTGGCTGGGTGGGGAATGCTGGGAGTTGTAGTTTGTCTAAGGCTTGCATCCTAGAACTCTTTTCTTTAATTCATGTAGACTGTGTCCTTTGGCTGCTTACCTTAAATCACAAAATGGATTTGGAGCCAGAATGTTCTGGCACCATGATTGTGGCACTGGTGGCCCCATCCCTACATTCATAAGCCCACATGCCCTCTTGTTGAGGCACACATGAGAAGCAAGGTTGGTAGAGTTAAGAGTGCTGGAAGGCCACAGTTACCTGTGGAATGGACCCCCTGCATGCCCACCATGATGGAGAAGTCTGCAGAGCTGGTGCAATTACCTTATCTCACAGTATCACCCCAGCATATGCACCAGGGAGTCACTGAATGCAGCACACGCAATTCTAGGCATCCACCCAAGACAGCAACCTTGGGAGGTTTACCCAAGCCTGGCCCTGGCTATGCATATCTGCCAGTTGTCTCTATTTACTGGGACAATCCTGGTGTCCTAGGAACTGTTTCCCTGCAGTTTTATCTTTTCAGACTATGTTTTATCTTTTCAGTTAGTCTTTATCATCACATTATGATTACTGCATTGATATCCCAGCCATTTCCTTTTGCAAGGTGGCTTACAGAATTGTCCTCTCCATTTTATCTTCACAACAGCCCTTTGAGGTAGGTCAGGCTGAGAATCAATGGCTGGTCCAAAGTCACCCACTGAGCTTCATGGCCACTGAACTAGAACCTGGATCTCTGAGCCCCACTTCACCATTCTGAAGGTCTGTACCACATGGACTCTCATTATGTTGCACTTCGTGTTGTGTGAGAAGTATTGCTTGTCTTTAGTCCCACTCTGTCTCCAATGGGGTGAGAGGGGGAAGTGAGTGCACCTTGTCTGTAGAGCAGCCCTCCCCAACCTTGAGCCTTCCAGACAAGTTTGGACTGAACACCCAGAATTCCCAGTCAGTGGAACAGCTGGATGGAGATTCTGGGAGTTGCAGTCCAAATGCCTCTCTAGGCCCCCAGGTTGGGGAAGGCTGGTCTAGGCCATCTGCATGTAGATATAGGAGCATAAGTACTTCATCTCTATGTACTGCTCAGTTTCATGCTAGAAATGGTATCTTTCATTGAACTGCATCATCAGGTATGCTGTGAATTCCTACCCAGTCTTTAAGCTCTTCTATGGAGGTCCTTCTCCAAGAACCCTAAAGAATTAAGTGGGGGGGGGGGGGTGACAGGAGAAGTGCCTTCTCTGTGATTGCACCCCATCTCTGGAACATGCTCCCCAAGGAAGTCCACCCAGCAGAGTCACTGTTTTCCTTCTGGCACCATGTGAAGACCCTTATATTCATCAGGCGTTTTAACTGATTTTAATATTGCTTTTATGTGAACTGTTTTATGCCATGTGGTACTTTAATCATAAGGAGCTGTCAAACTGTAATATTGTTTTTCATTCATTGTATTGCTTTTAAATGATTTTGTCTGTAAACCGTTCAGTGCCCCATGGGCTATGGGAGTGGTATACAAATGTAATAAATAAATCCCCAAAGTTGAAACACACATGCATGTAGCCTTGCAAGCCCATTGCCCTAGAATGGGTTTCTGTGCCTTGAGAAGACAACAGGGACCATGCGATGCCCGCCATGGCTCCTCATCCATGTCGGGTCGCCTTCAGCTCTTTATAAAGTTTATCTTAGAAAGCTATATATATATATATCAGCAGCTGCTAGTCTTTATGCCAACTCCAGCACTAGAGGCCCCATGCTTCTCTTTCTTTTGCTGGGATCCAGAGGGGTCATCCCATGAAGATGAATGGTGGGAAAGTCAGGACAACTCAGAGGACGGACATCTCCACGCAGCTGCTAGGGGATGCAGTGGCAGCCACGCCTTTGGGCAGCTTGGAGGCCATCCATGGCTACTAGTCCTCGTGCTGCCTCCGGGATCAGCGGCTGCACTCTTATGCTCAGTTGCTGGGCCACATGGGTGGGAGGGCGCTCCGGGTGAGCGTCCCGTGGGGGGTCGGTCAGGACAGAATCCTGGATCGCAAGCGCCTGGGCTGGGTCTGGCCCGGCGCGGCTCTGATGCTGCGGGAGGCCGGGACACACGCCCCTCTGCCGCGCGCGCGAGCCTCCATCCGGCGGGGGCGCGCGCTGAGGCGCCCGAGAGAACACCCGTTGGAGCCGTTGGGCCGGGATTGGCCACGCCCCTTCCCCCTCCGGCTTCGTCGCGTGGGCGGGGAGGAGGAGCCAGGCGGCCCCCCGGCAGGGCGCGCGGATTGGCCGCCCGGCCCGCTGGCGACGTCATAGGGGCGCGGGATTGGAGGGGCTCGCGTGACACGGCGGGCGGGGCGGGGTCTGCCTGCGGGCGTGGGGAGCGGTGACGCGCCGCCCGCCCGGCTCCGTTCAAACGCGGGTGGCGGGAAAAGCGGAGGCGGCGATTCCCTCAGGCGGGGCTGGTGCGTATGCTGAGGAAGGGGCGGCTTCGTGGCGAAGGTTTGCTAAGGCGCTCCCTTTTCCAGTACGGTAGGGTGAAGGGGTGACTCTCCGTGCTTAACCTGCGCGCAAGTCGCCTATGCCAGCTCCCTGGGGATGCTGGGAGTTGGAGTCGTGCGTCTGTAGAGGGCTCCAGTTTGGCTGGGATTGGCGTGTTATAATCTTGCCATATGTCCGTCCTTGAAACTTTTGAGCATTTTTGGAAGCCCTCTTCCGAGCGCCCTCGCCAAAGCAAGCTAGGTGGCTGGCCTCAAAGGAGGGGGCCTTCCCAGCGGTGGCACCCGACTTTGGAATAAACTCGGGGGACGAGCTGTTATCTTTTAGGCAGCAGACCTTTCTTTTTTCCCGGGCATTTTAGAGACGTAGTCCTGGATTGTTTTGGCTGTTTGCTTCTTGTGTTGTTTCTTGGTTTGTATCATATTCTATGGTTTAACATAGTAGCATTGTGTTTTCTACCTTTACCAGGTTTTTCCCTGTTTGTAATCAGCCCAGAGAGCACTAGGCATTGGGTAGATTAGAAATACTAAAGCAACATCTTCAGCAAGCGTTCAACCCTGGCTTTGAGTGTGCAAGGCTGAGCTCCTAATGCCTACTTCCCAAAGCGTTGGGGGATGAATGTCATTCGGGTTCTTAGGCCTTTGGACTTTGAAACGGGGCAGCTCGGGTGACAAGAGCCAAAGGGTAGAGCCCTTGTTCTGTGGGGAGGGCAGAGCCTTCTTTGTGTTGTCCCACAAAGAGATAGCAAGTCTAGTAGAGTTGGAAGGGCCATCGAGTCCAACACCCTGCTCTGTTTCCACATGGGGTCACCCATCCAGCTGCAAGCTTGCACCTCTCCAGTTTTGCAAAGGTGCCTTGACATGCTGCCTCTGTGAACAGCTGTGCAGGTTGGCAGTCATTGCTGTCAATACTGGGCTAGCTGAACTCAGTACGGGGCAGTTTCTTATATTCTAAACTGGATAGGATGGTGGGGCTTCACCTGTGATGGAGAGCAATTGAACGGCAGTGGTGAGGATAACTGGAGAAGGCTATCTGAGCATGTGCAGAGTATCTCTTTCCCTTGCAACTGCAAGCTAATACTGTGTTCTGGGGTCTCACTTTTCTGTGCAATCACAGTTCAAAAATGCCATCAGGCTTTCTGGGCAGTGCTGAGGCTTCAGGGATACTACATGTGTCAGCTGTACTGTGGACTGCATGAGGAGAATCCCAGTGAAGGGGATTTACCTCACAAATGTATTTTTAAAAATATAGTAACACCTCTCCCATGATGGTGGTTTCAGGGCAGGGAGACTCTCCCTGATCTTGAGCTGGGGTGTGGGGGAGGTGGTTGGTGATGAGACATTTAGCTGCTTTCCAGGGCTCAGTGTGTAGCCTGGGCGATTCCAGGGAGAGAAATATTAAGGCCAGCCAAAACTGTGAAACCTGCAGCGCATTATTATTTCCTCCCTGTGGATTACTTCATAATGTGTATTGGCAGAGAGGAAGAGGTTCAGTTGGCTAATGGAGTTTCCTTGCTGCAGTGGGGTTTGGGCCAGTAGGTAGGTTGAATATTGTGGCTTGGTTTTCAAGACTCATGGAATTACTCACTTGGCATGTATGAGCAAGCTCCTGCACACATTTGAGCTCTTACTAATTTAATTGAGAAAGGGGGTGTAGTTCAGTGGTAAAAGACACGCTTTACATGCAGAACATCCCAAGTCAGTCATGTTCTCATATGACTGGGAAAACTTGCAGGGATCCCTGAAGAGCTGCTGGTGGTTAGTGTAAAAGATGCTGGGAGAGATGGCTTAATGGTCTGTATTTTGTAGAAGACTATTCCCTAGATTCCTGTGTCACTGCTTTGAATATTAAAAGGCCAAACAAATTCTATGCCTCTTCTGGAGCCGAGTGCTTTATGGCAGCCCTTTCCAAGAGAAACAGACTGGTAAAAAAATAATCTTCATAGCAACTTTCTTGGAATCTCTTGTCATATAAGTCATCATATTGCTTGAAAAAATATATACTTTGGTGTATACAGGTGTGCTTGTTTTTAAAAATGCAGTTGCATTTCAGAGAATTGTAGGCTTCAGAGACAAGACCAATGCTCCCATAACCTGTTCTTGGTATTAATTATTCCAGCAGTTCTTTAAACCACCCCTGGAGGTGCCTTTTGCTGATGAAGTTTTGAAGATGCTGAAGTTTAAGTACGGAGTGCAGAGCCCTGCCAAGTTAGGTGTGATGGAGTCTATTGCCAGCCGTGCCTCTCGACTTAACCTACTTTTTCAGGTGAAGTTTTTCAAATAACAGATTGTATAAAATACTAGTTTTGCAGTGTTATTTTCAGTTGACAAATAGGGCACTTGTTGCACTGAATGAATAGCATTTCTTTGGTTGAATATTTGTGGCTATCTGTACCTCCCTTACAACAAGGAAAGGGTCAGCAATTAGTGCCCCCTTGGATTATCAGGCCCACTGATTCATGTCATCAGCTGCTGGTCCACCCCTGCTGCCAATTTCAGAGGCAAAAGTGAGCTGTAAAGGGACAATTGCAGTGGCAATGGAGCTTGCAGGTCATCATTTTGAAGGGTGGGGGTATGGGACTTCGGCCCCCACTGCTCTTTTCCAAAATCATTTGATTGATTTTAAAGGATTGCTGTAGAGGCCCCAGTCTCAGCTAATGAAATGGCTGCAGTTCAAGGTGGCCGTGGAAGTATTTCTTTGAGGATTCCCTCTAAACCTTTGGTCCTTCAGATGTTGTTGGACTTCAGCTCCCCCAGCCAAGAAGAGGATCAGGGATCATGGGAGTTGTACTACATCTTCAGAGCTGCAAGTGTCTCGCCCCCTGCCCCCAGCTTCTTTGAACGGTTCTATGCATGCACAGTGGCCTGTTGTAAAGCAGAGCTGGGCAGAGGTAGATCTCTAGATGTTTTCAACTCTCAGTTCCCAGAATCCTCCGCCAGTATGGTCAATGCTCAAGAATGATGGAAACTGATGGCCAAAACATCTCAATCTACTTTCTGCCCACCCCTGCCGTAAACATGCTTCTAAAATATTGATGGCTAAGCATTGGATACACACGTTTTGCTTCAGTTCTTATCTCACTGGTGCTTGCCTTTGTTACCAGGGGAAACTACCCTCTGTGGCACAACAGCAGATGTCTCTGCTTTCCAGGGAAGGAATCTTGGACTCCCTAATGGTGCTTTTTGAAGAATGCAGCAACCCCGCTTTAATGAAAATCAAGCAAGTGGGCAGCTTTATGAAAAAGTGTATGTGTCATTGGTGTTCTTTTCGATTTTACAAATGCAAGAGCAGACTTATTCTATAAGGGTCTTATTCAGGCGTTACCTTGCAGCTGAGAAAAACCATGTAGTAACTGAAGGGGGTGGGTCTTGGGCTTGCATGCATATTATCCTTTGGTGGTGGTGTAAAACCCCTAGGGTCATGGGCCCCGGAACCTTTCGAGTGCTGCACCCCTGCCTTCTGCTGCCGCCATCTTTGCTACTGCTGTAATGGCAACTGAAAAGTAGACATTTCGCTTAGAAATGAGGCATGCAAGGAAAGTGCACCTTTCAGAAGTAGAACTGCACTCCTGGCAAGCTTCTGGAAACATCCAAACAAGATACATGCTGCCCTCACTGCTTCATTTTGTCACTGCTGCAACACATGGGGGACATTCTGGCCTGCAAAAAAGCCACAGGAGGCTTATGTTTGTCCATCCCCCCCCAGGGCAGAAGATGATAATATATGGAAGGTAGAAATGGGAACAAAAAACGGGCAAACTTATTTTTCTGTGCACAGAACACATTGTCTTCCTCCTTCCTCTGCCACACGGGCAATAAATGATGGAGAAAGGATACATGCATGAGTGTTGCCCCGTTCTTACTACACTAGCTTTTCTCCACTGAAAGGAAAGCTATTTGACTCCAAGTACAGTTTAGCTAGCAGATAACTTCAGAATGCTTTTATATGCTGATGTCTTCTATATATAGATGTATACTTGCAAGTGGGTCAGTTTGAGGTGCAGGATAAGAGCCTGGCAACCTGAAACTGCAAGCTTACTCAAAAGTAAGTCCCTCTTTGTTCATGGTGCTCACTCTAGGCAGGTGGGGATCTGAACTGGAGCTTGGTGGCTTCTTTCTGCAGAGACAGTCTTTCAGGCTGGATGTTGCCTGGGCATGCTGGGAGTTGCGGGATATGTTTTCTGTCTAAACAAACAGGAGGGCACCCTAATTATACTTTATGGATTGCCAGCTGTGCTCTGCATGGAGGCAGAGAAGTGCAGGGCGTAAGTGGGAGGACAGTAGCATTAACCAGCCCGTAACTGGTTCCCTACAGAACCCATCTTTGATCAGGGGACAGAAATTAGCTTCTGTATGCCGCATGTTCTCAGCTCCACCTGTGCAGGATGTAATTTGCCCCACTGCATTTATTTCATTTTCAGCTACAGGTAAGCAGGAAGACTGGTGGTTCCTATTCCCCTTGTCTTCCCTTCTTGTGATATCCCATTCTGTGAAGTCTTGATGTATTAAACCCACCTTCTCCAACCTCCTGTGCTGTACATGTTTTGGACCACAGCTGCCAGGATCCTTGAGCCTTGGCCATGCTGGCTGGGGCAGGTGGGAGTTGAAGTCTTCTAGAGAGTGCCAGATAGAGGAAGGTTGTACTACCTTATAAAGACAAAGTCCTCCTGTATATAGCCACAGAAGCTTTATATAGCCATAGCAGCTTACAGAGAAACACAAGCAAAAGGAAGGCGCTGATATTCTAAATTTAAAGTGCAGTGGGGGAGGAAAACGGGAGGTGAATGTGAATGAATGCTGTTGTACATGCTTAAGCTTTGCTTCATTGGGGAATAAAGATTCAGGCCGTTGAACCTTCCATTGGAGAAGTGAGATGGGAAGTGGAAGGTGATCCTATGGAAATGTTTGGGAGCAAATTCTAGACAAGAGGCAACCAGACTGATAGGGCACAGTCTGTCTTGGCTGTAGGAGGCCTTGACATGATTTAGGGCAGTGTCAAAGGAGTCTGATCATGGGTGGGTTGCCTCAGATCATGAAGGCAGATTTAGAAGGGAGGCAAGGCCTTGGAAGACTTTACTTGAAAGCAGAATGGCTTTGTGCTGGGTGCAGAAGAGGAAGGAAGCTCTGATCTGGACAGTGGGAAGAGATTTGGATCTATGAGAGAGCTATATGTTTGGTTTCAGAGGCTTGAACAGAAAATACAAGGTGGGAACAGGGCTATGGATGAGACTGACAAAGGTATGTATATAAAACTGTTGAAGTCAGTGATGTTTGTATTGCAGTCTTTCCCAGTGTAAGACACTTGCCTTGTCTTGTACAGATTCAGGTTCAATAGCAGAGTTCCAGGAACTTCAGCCCAGTGTGAAGGACTTTGAAGTCAAGAGCCTGGTGGGACGCGGTCACTTTGCAGAAGTGCAGGTCGTGAGAGAGAAGGCAACTGGCGACGTCTATGCCATGAAAGTGATGAGCAAGGCAGCTTTGCTGCAGGACCCTGTACGTTCCTCTTCTGATTTCAAAACCTCCAAAATGCTCCTAAGCTTTTGATAGTTGAGAGAAATCTTGGCTGGGGCCTGCACTCAGAGTAGCACATTTTGCCCACACTTTGTTCTTTCCAGGCTATCAGGAACTGGCATGTTTTGTCCCTCAGAAATACTACGTAGACTTCCTGATAGCTGAATAAAGGCTTGTGCACCAGCTCCTTGCACAGGGCAGTGCAGTCACACAGACAGTGTGTGGAGGGAATGAATCGTATTACTTCACAGCACTCACATGATGCCATCTCAAGTGGGAACCATCATAGCACAGTGGTCGAAGTGCTGGACTATGACCCAGATTCAGTTCCCAACTCAGATGTGAAGCCCAGAGGGTGGTCCTGGGCCACTTCCATCAGTCCAACATACGTTACACAGTTGGGTAGGAGGACGCATTGGGAGGGAGAGAATTTTGCATGGCATCCTGACCTTGGAGGAAGGGGTAGCATGGCTCAGATAAGTCTTCAGAGCAGTTAACATCATACATGTGAAGACATCCCTGTAATTAGGCTCTCTTATTGGAGATGGGGAAATGAAGTTGCTTTCAGGTGAAATTTCAGCTAGAGACTTCCTAGATCCTGCTGCTGGCATTAGCTCTGCTACGCCAGCCATGCTAAATTTCAAATGAACTGGGACCTACCATGTGAAAATGGCTGTTCTGGAGGAAGAATGTGTCTAGTGGGAACACTCGGAATACATTTGTGGTCAGGGAAGTGGCAGAAAATAGATGATATCCAATAAGCCTTCCCCCAAACTGTTGCCCTCCCTATGTATGGGACTACAAACTTCAGCATTCCTAACCATTGGCCATGCTTGCTGGGGCTTATGGGTGCTGAAGTCTAAAACATCTAGAGAACCCATGTTGGCTATTGAACTTCTTTCAGCCTGGGGGGCAAATTCCTTTTCAGAGAAACTCACCACCTGCTTTACAATGTCACCATTATAAAACACCAAAATAGCAAAAATGCCAGCATGTGTTCAGAGGCTCTTACTTCCAGGAAAGCCTTAGGAAACTTATTCCAGCCTTTTGGAATGGGAAAATAACTGCAAAAAACGGGATCCCAGACTGTATGAAAGATGCTTGAGATGGAACAGGTTGCTATTGAATGGGGAAACTACATTGAAAAGGGATTTTAAAAAAGGCATTCTTTATGTGCAGGATATTAACTATTTCTAAGAATTGCATTTTTAAAGCTCTGCAGTAAGGCAATGTAATGCAGCACTGCCCAGAGAGTCTGTCCTGGTTAGTGGGTAGCACAGAGACTATACAAGGAAGTGAGGAGCACTGGGATGTATGGTTTGGGGAGTGTCACTGGAGATGATGAGCACTGGAACTGCCATTGTGCAACTGTTCGCACATTTTGTAGGCATCTCTATGAGACCTAGCAACTTGCTTTTAAATGTTCTGAAGGCTGACATTTCCAGAAACTTAATACAATAATGTTCTGATTTTAGATGCAAGTAGCTGTTCTGCTAAATGACATTGCCCACCCACTTTTTTCTTCCCAGGATTTGATGATGATTAATACTTTCTTGTAGGTATCATTCTTTGAAGAAGAGAGGAATATATTATCCCAGAATACTAGCCCTTGGATTCCGCAGCTATATTATGCCTTTCAGGACAAAAAGAACCTCTATTTGGTGAGTTTTGTGTTTGGAGGCTCACTTCAAGTGAGCTGACGATAGCTTTCACCTTTACAATCTAGGCAAGTTGCTGACATTTGAAGACCTGGTTGTCAGAGTTTGATTATGCTTCATTCACTTCAAAGCAATTACAAAGGGAAATGAGATTAGATGTTACATTTTCCTGTTAGGTAAGGTACAAACCTTCTGCATAATAGGGAACACTTGAATCCATGAATGAAGAGCACTTGGCAGTTGATTTACATTTTCCATATAAGTGCATATTTAAATGCTTTAAAACATCCATTCTTCTATTTCTATTTTTTAAAGCATGATTTGAAATGCAATTTAAGTATACTCACTGCTGTGTGGATAATATGCCTTGGTTTTCTTCTGCTGTGGGATGCAGAGTGAGTTGTGCTCTTTGGCCCTTCTCTTCGGCTCCTCATTGTGCTTAGCAGCCGTGACTTGAACTTGAAAGTCCTGTGTTGAAATACATGCAGGGTGTTTAAGGTTGAGCATTACTGGCTACACATGGTCATGGGGAGAGGGAGTAGGGGACATCTGCCTTGGTCCCGACAAAGTGAACCCCTTTGTTGATCTCATTGCATGTATGGTGGGTAAGAGGGGGCAAGGGAAAGACTGAGCAGGTGATACAAAAGCTATTTAGGTGGCGCTTTGCACATAACGGATTTGACAGGTTGTTACCCCAAAGGACCTAAAATAGACACAGGGAAGCGGCAGAGGAAGAGGATGCAATGGTGGTAAGAGTACACAGGGATCAATCACGTGCTATATCAGTTGTACATCTTGGAGCTGAAAGTGGGGATTTCTTTGTTAGCACTTATATACCACCTTATGTGCTAAAAGGTCATCAAGGCAGTACGCAAGAATTTACCACAGTGAAGTCATAAAACAACAGAAAACAAGGACATTAAAATGGATGAAAACAGAAAAAACATCATGGTTTAGAAGTCTAAACTGAAAACCTACACCCTTTCTAAAAGCCCAGAGAAAGGGTATCCATTGTAGTAATTGATGGGGCCCATTTCATGGCTTGAAAATGATAGAGGACAAAGCTGTTTCACTGCCGAACAGGTGGGCCTCTGCAAGGAATGCAGCCCTCAAAGGGGCCTCTCCTACAGACTTCATAGTGAGACAGGTTCATAGTGAGACAAGCGGTCCCTGACACAGCCTGGTCTGAAGCTTTTAAGGCTCTAAATGTTTGAACAACACCTCAGATTGTGCCTGGAAAGAACCTGGCAAACTGCAGGCATTTCAGGAATAGGTATCAACTAGTTGCAGTAAGCAGTCTGCCTGCTTCTGATTCTAGACTCTTGCTAACCAGCCCCCAGGGGACTGGGTTTAGGGATTTGTTCCATGGGCTTTCTGGGCATGGTAAGACGGGATGACAGGCTCAGGTCTGTGTTTCTATGGGGATGAAGGACCCTTCATCTGTGGAGACGGGAAATGAAGGGGGGTTCTCAGGTGTAAATACACTGCTTGTCCCTTTTACTCTTACATGTTAAGTGTCACACAGGGAGAATAAAATAGCTGAGTAATACTTTTCTTTTTAGGCCTACTTGCAAAAGGATTCAAAAACCTACCTTTTATTAGTTAGGCTGTAAAAAGAGTACAGTGTCTAAATATTGCTGGATAGTAGCTAGCTTTTCTGGAATCCTGCTTTTAACGTGTGTAGTATCAAGAGAATCTCTTTTTCCATGCTTTCTTGTCACATTTGGTGATGACTTATCAATGAAAAAAATGACTGTTTTTTTAGGTTGTTAGATTTCTTGTTCAAGAAAGATGCAGGAAATATTATACCTTACTTGTGTACAAAGCTGGATATATTGTGCATATGCAAACTATTCTTTAAATACCCATGTGTTTGCTACTACTGTGTGTCTTGCCATAGTAAAGCTTTATAAAATTAAATTTCCTTTTATTGTGTATGATCTAATTACTTTGAAAGGTTATGGAATATGAGCCTGGAGGGGATCTTCTGTCATTCTTAAACAGATATGAGGATCAGCTGGATGAAAGCATAGTTCAGTTTTATCTGGCAGAGCTAGTTCTGGCTATTCACAGTGTCCATCAAATGGGCTACGTACATCGGTAAGTGGATTCCTCCATCTCACATCCACATGTTTAACTAAACTTGAGGAATAAGCACTGCTGTTGGAAATTACTGATGGTTTTGATGTAGCAGCATGTGGAGATAACATTTAGTGTAATTATAGAACTGCTGCAGGGCTTTGTTTCCATTCCAAAATCTACTTGAGGCTTGCTTAAAGGTTTGTGCCTGCCCAGTGTCGCAGCAAAGCCTACATGCTACTGATGTATCATCATCTTCACTTTTGACGCTCCCATGGCACTTCAGTAGTTTCTCAGTTCATGGAAGAGCTTTCTGTAGGTGGTCAGCCTTTGTCCCATGGGCAAATCATACCATCTGAGGTTCAACAGATGGTCATGTCACCTTTTCAGGACCTGGCCCTATTTCCTTGACACCCTCCGATACTTATCTGATTTTGCATGCATTTATTCCCATTCTCAAAGGCTGAAGTGCCTCCCCTAAGGCTGAGTTATTGACAGTAAGTGCTTGAGGTGAAAATATGCTGTTATATTTAGTATTTTGGCCCTGCTTTTGTACTTTGCTCGCACCCATCACTGTAATGTGACCCGTAAGAGCCTATCTGAAATTGACTTTGACCCTCAGGCTAAAAGAGATTCTCTATCCCTGCTGTACCTCGTATGATGTGCCAAAAGTTAGAATCATTCAGCTGTAGGCCACTCCCTTGTGATATTTTCTTATGTGGAGAAAGGGTTGGCACAGTCATAAAAGTTTGATTCCTTAATCATGATTAAGGGATTGAGACTGGGCCATGGCATTTTGTACACTAATGTCCTTACTGTGCAGTCATTAATGATTAGGTTTACATCAACACAAACTTCAACCATTGTTAATTGTAATTATGTTATCTTGTTCAAACTCTGATATTAAATTCTAGCAAATAGAAAATCATAGCTAATGTCTGTGCTGGTGGCTAGTAAACTAACAGGAGGATTCCCTGAACTGCTTAGCTCCATCTAACATACTGAGTTTTGTGAATGCATAACAGTGTTATATTTCAGCAGTTGGGGCTACTTTCTTTTGAATGGTGCTTAGCTTTCTGATGTCCAAATCCAAAGTATTAGCACATGACATCTCAGAATACTGAAATAAGTTTCTTCTAATTGTTCACATTGCAAAATTAATGTTTCTCACCTGAATAGCTGTGTTTTGCATTGTTCAGATCTATAATGCGACATCAGTACATTTCCTTGTTGTTAATTCCATTATATGGTGCCAGCAACCCACATTAATTATTCTCCTTTGGCAAGGATATCTCAGTAGCTTCATTGCCTGAGCTCCAGAGGAGGGATGAAGTGAGAGCAAGAGCTGTGATCACTACAGATGTCCCAATTTTGGGTGGGCGTAGCATTGCAATGGAAAACCTTGCCTGGAACATTCAGCTTGGAAGTGGCAGCGAAAGGTAGTTTCAGCTGATTTGCTTGAGCTACCGAAAAGTTTTTGCCCTAGAGAGCATGTGTGTTTTTCTACAGCATGCCTTTCAGATATACTAATATCTTTTGAGGAGACCTAATAGCTCTGGAGGTTGAGGATACATTCATTTTGATTTAATGTTTTTCTTATTTTATTTGTAACAGGTTACATGGTCAGAAATGTGGTTTGATAAAGAGGGTATTATTGATTATTGCTTGATTTTGCTTTATTTACAGAGATATTAAGCCAGAAAATATCCTCATTGATCGAACAGGACATATAAAGTTGGTGGACTTTGGGTCAGCTGCCAAAATGACAGGGGATAAAATGGTAACAAAAGTCTTTGGGTTGCCCATATGGAATGGAAAATATAAACATTTGCAATGCATGTTGGTGCCCATGCAAATTGTGTCTATTGTTATAAATAGGAAAAGAGTGTTGGTGAAATTTGGGGGTCTCATTCTACTTTTCCATAGGAGGTTACAATGTATTAAATTTCTGTGTTTACATATGCATTCTTGAATAATTATACGGTATAAATATATTCCAGAAAGAGGGCTTAGCTTGGTGTAGTGTTTCTCTCTGAAAAGGATCCATGTAATGGCCACACAGTCATAAGAGTATGAGAAGTCCTCATGTAAGTAGAGCTTACATGAAAGAAGCTTAATAAAACTGAGATGTTAAATTCTATTCACAGCAGTCAAATGTAACCCAAGAGTGTTTTGTCCAAGTGTTGAAATGGAGTTGGATTGGTAAATGTTCAGGAAGGTTTAATTTAATTTAATTTAATTTAATTTAATTTAAACATTTGTATCACGTCCTTTCTGACGAACGGCTCAGGATGGCTTACAATGATTTAAAAATATAATAGTACAATAGTACAATAATTAAAATGGTAGATATTAAATCAACATAAAACCAACACATCATAAAACTAAGAGAGAAGAAAGGAAGAAAATAGAAAATGCAACTGTGGAAAAAGATCTTAAAACTTCTAAAAGTCTAATTATTAAAATGCTGGCTGAATTTACCCGGCGCTGAAAAGAGTATAAAGTCAGTGCCAGGCAAACCTCTCTGGGGAGCACATTTCATAGTCGGCGCCACTGCAGAGAAGGCCCTCCTCTGGGTAGACACCCTCCATGCCTCCTTCAAAGAGGGTTCCCAGAGGATATAATAAACGTAATTAACTCGGTATGAAAGTAAAGCTTTTTGAGGCATAACAGTGAAGTATGTGCCTCCCATCAATCCGTGTGCTTTCTGAAGTTCAAAATGAGTGGATTCTTATGCAGCCTGAAGAACACCACCCATGTACATAAGGAAAGTATTCACATCCTTGGGGGAAGTGCAGAACTTGGAGGTGGGGGAGAAGAACCCCCAGTGCAGGGAAGTGAAGCTGAATGTGCTCATGGAATGCTTCCTGACTTGGGTGGCGCAGAGAAACCACGTGGAAGGTGGGACAGAGGACTGACTCGAGCACTGTGAGAGTGCTTGATGATCAGAACTGCAGATGGTTAAAAATGGTGCACAGCAAAAGTAGGGAGAAATAACCTTAATGGAGAAGGTGCATCAGGGAGTGCAAGAAGGAAGCATCTTCTTTCCTTTACTGAGCAATAGATTCTTTCTTTACTAGCTGTGGATGACTGCTAGACTCAGATTGCATCTGCCTCGCAGCTGCAACTAGGGGCACTAGATTGGAAACTGCAGTACTAAACCATGGTTTAGCACAATGTAAAGGAACTATGGAGAACATTATGCTGGCTCTGCTCCTTTCTTCCTTCTTGTTTTCCTCTACCTCATGGTTGTAAGGAGCTATACATAAGCTCTAGGTTCTGGGCAACCAGAGCACTGGGAACCATGGTTAACATTAACTATGGTTAGTCTGAAACCATGGTTTTGAAGTAAGCTTGTTCTTAAGCCGCCCCGAGGCTTAGGCAAATGGGGCAGCATATAAGTCTGCTAAATAAATAAACTAACCTCAGGCAATGTTAGCCACTGTTTGTCAGCTGAGAAGTAAGAGCTTCCAAAGTTTCCTTTGCAACTGCGTTACAGGAGCAGAGCCTCATGCTTTCTGCAATTCATTCATGTCATGTGAAATTGGGGACAGAATCCCAGGCCTGGGGGGGAAATGCAGCTCTCCTGGACTTGTAGTCCAGCACTCTGGGTTTACCCTGGTAGCTATATCCCATTCCCTTGACCCTACCCTCTCTCCCACAACATGTGCTAGCTTTGGTGATTTCCTCTCTCCGGGCCTTTTTTTCCTGTGCTGAATGGTTGAAATACTACTGCTAAAGGGCCATCACTGGCAGCAAGAGCTTTTACCTAAAACAGGCTGGTATACTGGGGCCTTTGGCACCACCCATTTTGCCTTCAGCCTTGTGCACCCCTGAAATGCAGCCCCAAGGGCTTGTCTAAAAGAGTTTTGCCATTGTGCACCCCTGCGTTAAACCATGGTTTTTAGTATGATAGTCCAATGCAGCCTATAGATTCATGGATTTTAGAAAGTATAGACAGTTGTTTGGCAGACATAACAATCTAATGACTCTCCAATACAAATTCTCTCTGGTATAAATTGAAAAAGTACAGGCGCTTCCATATGCATCATTAGTAGGAATTTTCACTGAAGTTGGTGTTCATTTTTAAAATTGTTATACTTATTTCTAAAGAGGGACATCCACCTTTCAGTAAAAAGAAACTGAAGCAGCTGATAGCATTGATAACTAGCTAGCTGGTGCCTGCCCTGGTCCTTGAGCTTAATAGCATGCTTGCTAATCTAGGAAGAAACTGAAATGGGTAATTAGATAGCTGAGGTCTCATGGATCGTGAATAATGGTGTTCTTGATTACAGTTAGAACTGTTTGTCTCTTGTGATAGTAACAAGTGCCTCTTGATTAAGCTAATGTAATTGATATGATTTGATATAGCAATGAGTATTGGTTAATTACTCATTAACTCTTTTGGTTTGAGTTGCATGTTCTGGCCCCAGGTATCTTTTAACAATGTGAAATTATAATCAAAATTATTATATCCCTTTGCCTGTCAGAGATTTTTTTCCCTGCTTAAACTAGCAACACTTACTGATAGGTACTTATTTCAGAGAACAGTAGGCATTTAAGAGGACAGTGGGTTTCAAGCTACGTTTCCAGGGTTGCTGGAGTTCTTTTGGAGGCTAACATTCTGTGATGGCAGAGGAGCGTCTATGAAAAGAAACACACACACTACTGATGTTTTTCTGCCCTCAAGAGAGCATTGACTCTGTTCTGGGTCATAGCTGCACTTCAGGTTGGTCACTGCAGAGAATTCTAGCTTATTAATGACTCCAATTTGGATTCTTCTGCAAGTGGGAGTGGCTAAGGTAACCACAAATTCCCCAGAATGGAAAAGCTTGGCATTGTTTTAGGAACTCAAACCATGGCTTTTCTCTCTTCTAGTGAGCTTGGATCAATAAGCTGCCCATATGAGACATTAGCTTTAAACTTAGAATGGGAAAGGGATGAAGGCTCACCTCTGCTACCCCGGCCTTTCTTTGTTGTCCTATCTAGTAGGAGAAGGGGGATGCCCCAAACTGGGGTATTTTATAGCTATGTAGCAGAGGATGGGGGAACACACACTGTTCTGGAGATACAAGAGTCAACTCCCTGCAATTGTCTACCATAAACTGAAGCTTGAGTGGCTCCAGTCCTTTCCTTCCTTTGTAGTTTTCCTTTGCTCTCACCTCAAGTTGTTCACATAAACTTTTGATTGACGTCCATACAAACAAATGTTTTCTTCAGTTGCTAGGGGAAAACCTTTCTGATTCTTTTTCCATAAGTAACTTGAGTAATGGTTGATTGCCAGAATACAGTAGCACTCACATAACCTGTAATAATTAGATTGTAATTTTCTAATTATATTCCTACTTTTCAGGTGAATGCTAAGCTTTCAGTTGGCACCCCTGATTATATGGCCCCAGAGGTGCTTATGGTTTTGAATGGTGATGGCAGGGCTTCCTATGGACCAGAATGTGACTGGTGGTCTCTAGGGGTGGTTGCCTATGAAATGATCTACGGAAAATCTCCATTTACTGAAGGAACTTCAACCAAAACCTTCAATAACATCATGAATTTTCAGGTATAAACAGGGCTTTTCTCCATACAGTTGAAGTCAGAGATCTTTTGGTTTGGGCAAATTCCAAGCGTGCATCTGCTGTGCAAAAGGCAAATCACGTATTTGGGATCATTAGGAAAAGTGCTGAGAAAAAAGCAGATTGCTGATATTATGTTTTTATATAAAGCAACTGTGCTTGGAATGCTGTGTCGTGTCTGGTCACCATACCTAAAACAGGATATTATAGAGGTGGGAAAGAAGCAGAATAGAGTAACCAAGATGATCAAGGGCTGGGGCAGCTTCCCAGTGAAGAAAGGTTACATTGGGGCTTATTAGCTTAAGAAAAAAAGGCAAATAAGGAGGAATGTGGCAGAGGAATATAAAATTCATGCAGGGTTTTACGAAAACAGGTTTTCTTGCTCATAATACCAGAGCTGAAGGTCATTCAGTGAAGTTGAATGATGAGAGATTCAGGAGATGGAAGGCCATTTTTGGCATAGAGGTGGGATGAGAATCTAATAAACAAACATGCAAGTACTACTTCAGTGTGTAACTGAATTTGTTAAAACAAAATGTAGTGATGGTTGCGGCCTGGGCAGCTTTAAATGGGGACTGGACAAATGGATGGATGAGATGGCTCTTTGTGGCTACTAGTCCTGATAGACATGTATTATTTCAGTGTCAAAGGCAGTGTGCTTGAGTGCTCTTGATTTCATGTCCTATTTGTGGGCTTCTCACTGGCATCTGGTTGGTCACTCTGGGAGCAAAAACCAGATGAGTCTTTGATCTGGTTCCTCTCAGCTTGTCTCATGTTCAAGAGTTTTACATGCAAGAGGTAGGATGTATTGCATGTGTTGCTAAGCTTTCCCTTGTCATTTATAGTTCCACCAGTGCCTCCAGCATTATTGACTGATGTATTATTAGCAACAGGAATTTTGAGACTTTGTGAAATTAGTACTGATTAGCCAATAGCCAAAGCTCATTCAATCATAATCTTGGAACTTTACCCAGAACTGTGTGTACTTGCATTATTAAAAATAAGTACATTCCATGCCACATACTTAAATTCTGCAGCAGCAAAAATAAGCTTTTATGATCTGGATTAGTTATGCACATTTTCATATGTCTTACTTTGCATAATTTAGACTGTTTCTGCTAGTCTTCGGGTGGGCACTAAAGCCCCATCCCAACGAACGGAAATCTTCCTTAGCAAGTTCTCCAGCATAATAAGTTTTTATCAGGTGCTGCCCAGCTGCCTTCCAACTTTTCTTTGTACAAGGACTAGAAACGTTTTCTAAAAATGAAATTGGAGATACTTAAAAAGCTGTATTCTAGAGCTACTGTTCTGTGGCCATCCTGCACTTTTGTTCACAGCTGGTTTGAAAAAACTAAAGCCCTGCGGTCAGGGACCAAGGAATTGTGCAGTTCATTTGATGCGTCCAAAGCAACTTTGTTGGTGTTTCTCAACAGCATCCTCTGTCTTCTTTTTTTGAAACTAAGGCATTTTTCAAAAGCAGTTTGCAATACAATGTCTGAGGATGCTCTTCGAAGAAATACAAATAGAAATGACCCACTAGGGCGTGCAACTCTTTGGCTTGGCTAAAACAGTTCTCTGTATCCTGGTCTTTAGCTTTTTCTTTCTTTACTGTTGAGAGACATTTATTTTGGATTCAACTGCAGAGGTTCCTGAAGTTCCCCAAGGATGTGAAAGTCAGCAATGAATTCCTTGATCTGATGCAGAGTTTACTTTGTGGGCAGAAAGAGAGACTAGATTACGAAGGCATCTGCTGTCATCCATTCTTTTCTACCATAGACTGGAATTGCATCTGTAACTGTGAGTAATGTGTTGCAGATGAAGTCTCAGCTCTTGACTAATGGGTAATTGTATTCTGAGTACATTATCTAAAGCAGGACTGGGGCTGAATTCAGTCTAGGGGCCAAATTTAATTTGGGAGAAGCTTTTGGGGAGCTGCATTTCAGAGGTAAATGTGGCCAAAAGCACAGGAGGTGAGACTCAAAATAGAACAAAATGCCAGCCTGTTTAGTTTAAAGCTCTTTCTATGAGTAATTAAACCTTAGGTGAGGTGTTTACATCTTCAGAAGGGGGCTGCACAAATTATGAGTGGTTGGGGAAAAGTGAGGGTGGGCCCAGGAAAAATGGGCAGGCCATCTGGAGAACCTTAGGCGGTCTGGCCGGTTTGAGACCCTTAAAGGATCAAATTTGCCTCTTGGGCCTGATCTGTAGGCGTTCGAAACAGTGATTCTGGTGAAGCTGAGCAGGTCTTGGTCTGATCATAGCCTGGATGACAGATCTCCTGGGCAACCTCATGCATGCTGCCTTGCATTCCATTTTGGTGGAAGGGCAAGATATAAATGAGATAAAAACAAGAAATAAAGACTAGCTGGCTTTCATGATCTCTCCCTTCATCCTTCCAAACAGGGATAAAGTGCAAAAAGACAGAATGAGCCAAAATCAGTTTGCCCTTGCAGTGGGGAGGAGGGAGATAAGCCGGGAGGACCAGTGGGGAGTGGGGTCAAGAGCCCACAGTAAACCTGATCATCTGTCAGGCATAGTGTGGGTTGTGAACAATTAACCCACCGTGGCTTACTGCCCAGGTAGGTTGGTGTGACATGTAAACACACTGACATTATGTGTGATTTTATTAAACCAGTTGGGCTTATTTTCTTATTTTCATGAGAAAAGTAGGATAGAACAATTCAAAAACAAACACCCACGCCAGTCATTTGTTACTTAAAAGAAAAAAAAAAGTTCTGTTTTTGTGAAGCTTCCTTGCCTCTTCATCTGGAGGAAGATCATGAGTCACCAGAGGTGACCGAATGGAGGCTGCTCAGATAGCAACCCGAATGTAGATTGTCATTTACTTATGTGTGATCATGTAGGCTTGGGGAGGCCAACCAGTGCCATAAGGCTGTTGAACCTTACAGTAATTTTCTGTAGTTAGCCAAAGCTCTAGCAATGGAGCAAAGTTTGTAGCTGTGTGAAGACAGGAGGCTGTAAAGCCAGAGAGAGTCTGTCGCACTTCCTAGGAGAGGGTTGTTAACCCAGCAGAAGTCCAAAGGAGACTGCAGAACAGTCCTTGCTTTCAGCTGGATCTTTTCCTTTTTCCTTAGTAGATCCTTTCTTTTGACCACAGGATGGTGAAAGAGCCTTCTGGAAGGCTGCAGTGGATCTGGGCTTCCTCTTGGATCTGCAGCCTTCTCTGTTTTTGAGGGTTTGGTGAGGCGGAAGTGAGGAGAACGAGAATTGGGGCAGAACTTGGGATGGCACTGGAGGGGTTATTGGGTGGCCCAGGCAAGGCTGGAGCTCCTAAGGCTGTGCTTGGACTTTCACTGATTTATCCCATTCCGCAGGTGTGTGTTGGGGGGAGGGTCTTCATGGAGTCCCAAGCCTTTTCTTCTGAAAAGGTTTTCCCAAGGTCTGAGTCAGATTTGAATGAGACAACCAACTGCTCCCAGTAGAAGCTTGCTCAATCTTAAGGTCAGCATCTGAGGTTTTCTGGTCCACCAGTATGAGCTCTGAGTTTGGAGCACCAGCTATAGGGCCTTATTTGTGTTGGTCCCTATGTTGAAATGTCCTCCCCTAGGGATTGCATATGGCTCCATCTTCGCAGGCTTTCAGTGGTATTTTAGAAACATACTTATTCCAAATAACACTTGATTAATTTTATTGTACTGTGTTTCAACTGATCTTTTATTGGCTATTCCTATCTTACTAACTTTCCTAGTTCAGTTATTTACCTTGTATATAGAAATAGATTGAAATCCCCCCCCCGTGCCAAGTAGACTGGACACCTATTTATGTAGCAACAGATGTAATATTACTCTAGTTTTTCTCTTTAGGCAGAGCTCACATTCATATGTAGCATGGACAGATCAGGCTCACCATTGTGTCCTTGGAGCTGGCTTGGCCGAAAAAGAAGACTGATCTGATCGGACTGTGAGCTGCAGATGGAGATTCCTCTGGCCTCAGCAGCCAGCAAGTGTGTTGTGACATCTGGAAGGTTCAGCAATGGGGACTGGTGTAAATGGGACTCAGATTAAGGCTTTTCAGAAGTATGTGTGTCCAGCCTGGTCTCTTGTACAGCGCATGAAGGAACCAGACTCAGATTGCGGGGACCACAAACATTTGTGATTCCTCAGTCAGCTATACAGCAGAGCAAGATCCAGGTAGCATTTAGACTAAAATGTCAACCCCAAGGCATGGGCAAGATGTGAGGACAGCCCACAGCTTTTGGTGGAGTGCATGTTCTGTAGGTGGTGGAAACAGTGCCAGGCTTGGTGGTCTGACTCAGTTGAAAGATAGTTTCGTATATTGATAGACCATATTTTTGAAGCTGAAATGTAATCCTGTTTAAATTATGCAGAGCAGGCTACAGAAATCCTTTCTGAGACCACTGGAGAAGAAATTGAACCGAGAATAATTAATCAGGGTGTTTTCAGAGCTCTCCTTTTTCTGAAAGGCTGAAAAAATGTAGACATAACTTTTTAGCTTGTAGAGGTAAATGTAGGTCCCTGACCTGCAATAGGGATGCAAAGTTGCAGGCGAGGCTTTTACTTTTATGTTTTCCCTCTTAAAAGGAATAGCGTCTGTTCATACTTCTAAGGAAGATAACTTGTTCCCAAAATAATTTTGAGTGGATTGATGTTCTAAGTAAGCTGTATTATGGCGATCATGAATATTCTTAACTCATCCCATTGTATTCTAATAATTTAGACAATTGTTAGAATGAGGGTGGTCTGGTTTGGTTGTGACAGGACTGCTGGATTGCCTAGGCTCTGGAAGAGTGTTCTGCTCTCCCTCCCTCCCTCCCTCTCTCTAGACACTACCATAGAAGGAAGAGTGTATAATATTGTTGTTTTCCTTCCTGTGGTTAGTTTCAAACTTTGCAGCAGAGCTGCAGGCATTTTCTCCAGTCTTTCCCACCTCTCATATAAGGAATGACAAGTTGTATCCTTGTGTCAGGACCGCTTTGTGTCCGCTGGCTCCTGGTTGTAGCTCTCCGGCTCGCTTCCTCCTTCCCATGTCCTTGTCACAGTAGCCACTGGAGGAGAACTTTCCAAGGTGTAGGGAAGAATTTCTCTAACTTCTCTCAGGCCTTGGAGGGGAAGGTCTGATATATCCTACTGTTGTATGCTGTATGACTTCTGAGAACTTCTCGAGGATCATAGAATTGCACTCTGAGTGCGCAGTCCTACGTTTGTTTAGGTGGAAAAAGTCCCACAGCTCCCCAAATTCCTTAACCAGCATGGCTGGCAGGGGCAGATGGGAAGTCATAAGATTTTTTCTCTCTCTCTAAACATTCAAAGGTTTATACACTTAATGTGATTTTAAACATTCCACACAAATTCAGAACTTTACCTGGAGGTTGTTTTTACTTGTATACATATTACTGTTTGAAGATATAAATTCTGAAGCATGTGCTTTAAATTTAAAGGAGGCAAAGCTGAAGATGCTGAAAATGTGTAATATACTAATTTTAGTGTGCCCGAGAGCTGTGCCTTATGTGCATGCATGCTTCCTAGTGATAGTCGCCAGAAAAAAAGATAACAACTTTGAAACTGTTCAGTGCGGCATTATGTACAGTCATTATGTTACTAATTAATTTTATGGATTTTAATTTTAAGCCATATTTTAATTGTAATCCTATTTTCATTTGGATTAGGAACAGAAATTTTTTCATGGGAAAAGTATAGGACTGAGAAGTCTTTTTTGTTGCAGACAGCTCAGGGGAAATCTTCTTTCCTTTCCATGTCAGAGCAGATGAGCTTCTCAGGTAGGCTTTGGTGTCCTAAGTGGAGGCAGCATGCTCAGCCCTGAAGGGCGCTTGTGCTAATGTGATGGACAATTTATAAAGGATAATTCTTGTTTCCCTGCCCTGATTAACTGACTTATTTCAAAGCTTATCTGTCTTGTCCATGGGATTCTGACAGATCTGTCCTGAGCATGGGTTGTTTGTTTGTTACATGCAATCAAGTGGCCTCCAACTTATGGAGGGTTGTAGAGGTTTCCCTTTCAAAGTAAAAAACCAGCAACAACAAAAGTTGACCATTCCTGCATAGGCCACTTATCTTACCCCCCCCCGCCCCCCCCAATCACCTTAAATAGCATTTGAAGATATGCATGTTGAATTCTTTCACTATGAATATCTGCTTTATATTTTAACATGCATATATACATATATGCATACATATATGCTTTATATGTATTGGGACTTATTCCACAGCCCAATCTCATGCAAAACTTTGTTCTTATGGCTGTGAATCTCTTAGATGCCATAATTTCTATTTTGTGAATAAAAATTGTTTTGTGAGAAGGGGCCATAAATGGTTCTGTTTCTTCAGAATTTTTTTCTGTTAAACATTTCAGTTCTCAGTACATGTATTCTGTTCAAATGAACATGCTCATAATAGGACTGCACTTTGTTTCTCCTTGTCTGTCTTAAAGTTCTTTTTCCCTTAGGCTTGTCCCAATTTACCCTTCCACCTGCTTTTACTCTGGTCCTGATCTGTATCTTGAACTTCAGACAAAAAGCTGGATGGATACCGCAAGCATGGTTGCTAGGTTTAAGAAACCAAGAAAGGTGGAACAGCTCTACAAGCCAAGTACCCTATTTTTAGTGGATAAAGCCACTGTGTGTGGGTCATAGACTTGTGGGTAGGAACTGTGCTGGAAACAGAAAGGCTGGCTTGAGGCCTGGAGTCTACAGGCATGGAAAGACTGCACTGTGTACCCCACAGTGACAAATGGTCTGAACTGGTTGGTCCTGGAAAGGTTTGAGAGATTAGTCAGTGGCAATGGCACCAGATTAGCCCCTGATTGTCTTAAGACAAACTTCTTTCTGCTCAGTGGTTGCATTGCATTTGGGTAAGTTTTTTGAGGCTGCATTTCAGTGATGAGTGGGGCCATGGCAAAATGGGCGGAGCCAAACATGCCAAAGCCAAGAAATTGCCAAACAAGCTTAGACCCTCTCTTTGAATCACCATGGTCACTTTCTGAATCAAGGTTGCACATGCTTCCGCTTGCATAAGTCGGCTAATTACACACCACTCTACTCTGCTTTGCCTGATTAGCAAAATAGTTTGGTCCAAGGTCTAGTATGTCTCCAGGGCACAGAGCACTTTACCCCTAAGGTTGGGGATATACGTTGCATCTTAAAAATGCCTTTGACTTCTAGGTAGTGTGGTGTTTTCTTGTCTTATAATGATGAGAATAGATGATTGTATGGGTTTGTGCCCACCCTCCTCCCCCATGAATTTAGCCCCCACTTCCTTTCCTAGCCATGGTGGGGTGTTACATCTGTGTTGGCCCTAATGACAGCCATGGGTTGCTTTTAAACTTGGGTTTAAGGCCTGTTTTTAAACCCTTTTAAAATACAACTTTGGGATATGTGAATCTGGCTAGTCCTGAAAACTGAGATACATGGACCCATAGATTAAGATGTCAAGCAGGAGATAATCTTCATTGGGTTTCTTGAGTTTCAAGACACACAAAGCTAGATTCATCACTTTATCCTTTATCCTAAACTCATTGAAAAGGAAGAGCTGTGCAAGCTACCAAGAACTATGCAAGCCACTGTCTCTGCTAGTGGGCACTTGGAAGTAACTGGAAGTTCAAAGGGAAATCTCTTTTTCATTAATTTTGAGTCCCTAAGTAGAAATTGAAAAATGTTTACAACATTTTGGCTTCCTTAATATATTTTTAATATTGCTGTGAAATTGTTATTTATCTTGGTATTATTTTTGAGGAATTAGTTTGTATTTGTTTTATGCTGTACACTTCCTTGAAATCTGATGGAAGGATGGTGTAGAAAAGCATAAAATTCTAGTTTTAACTTCTGAAACAATGAAAAATGTATATTTATATTCTGATATAGGTTTGTCCATTTGTTTTCAATCAAAACAGCACATAATATAAAACTGCTCATCCAGCAATTTACTCTTAATTCTATATGTGGGGAAAAAGAGGTCTTCAACTCTCAACATGCCCCAGCTAGCTATGTATAGCCAATTAGGGCATGCCGGGAGTTGGAGGCCTTCTTAATAGGATTGTGCCCCCCAGTTTGTATTAATCTCTGGGAATAGCAGCTTGCTTCTCTATCCCTTTCCTGAAAGTATTGTCAGCACTTTTTACATGAAAAGCTGCCAAAATATTTGTATTAGGGAAGCAGAGTGCTTATTAATTCTAGTCACTTAGGATCTTTCTAAAAGTGGCTGATCTGAGGATGGAAGGGTTAAAAACCTGGGCTGCAAAAGGCTCTGGCAGCCTAGAGGGAGCTCGCAAGCTCCAGCCGTGACTCATTCTGCTTCTGTCAGTCAGATAAGTATCAGCATCTGTCAGGGATACGGGGAGGCAGGCGCAAACTCTGGAGCATGCACAGAGTGAGGAGCAGGGAGCCTGCACTGCGGGGACTCAGTGCTGGTCCCCAGGGCTTTGCTTTCTGTCAACCCGCCTGCTACAGATCTATTTGAACTCCATGGTAACAGCATATATCCATCACCTTGTGACGGTGAGCAAGCAGTCTGAAAGGATCTTTGTTTCACCAAGCCTGCTCGTCCCCCATAAGGGAGAATGTTTTTGAGTTTGCATTGTGCAATGACTTCCAGTGGTTAAATTCATATTTAAACCCAATGAAGGTGCATCATTCTGATGAGGGAGGCTGTCCTCTACATCTAGAAAAGCAAAGCAGCTTGCTTGCTGTACATGGTTACGGAAAACTTGCCTCTGCAGTTTTCTGTTGCTTTTTCAAAATTGCAGGACTGAGGAGGCCAGTATGACCATGAGGGATCCAGGGCTGCCCACTGAGAGCTGAAGAGGAGCTGATTTCTGTTTGCTCTGTGATAAAAGTTGGTTGCCTGGAAGCTGGACTGCAGTGGTGTCCCATCAGGAATGTCTAGGCAGCCGGGGCCTGGGGTGGTGGGGCTCTTAATTCTCCAAGGGCTGCCGAGATGAAGCAGCCGCAGCCTTTAGCCGGATGAGATTAGTTTAGGCATGGGAGACCAGGGTCTGACATCCAGGTTAAGTGTGCTGCTGCTGTTCTCCACAGCCCCTTTGGGAGCCACAGAGCAGCTGGCGTAGTCCGCTCATTTAGGCAGCTTAGATGGATCTTTCCAGTCTCCAAACGAGCAGGAGCAAGGGTCTTATGACATAGGCAGGATTGCGGCTGGACCCCCCATACACACACTTCATTTGGCGGTGGGGTGGTGTTAGCTTGTGTTTGAGGGATCAAGGCTGGTGGGAAAGTGGCCAGAGATGCTCCCTGCCTGCAGCATGGTAGCCATGTTGGTAGCTGAAGGGTTAATCTCTTGTTGCTGTAATAGGTTGGAGAGCAGCGGCTCAGCCTGCTGTTGTTAGCAAGATTAAAGGCAGGCGCTGCAGTGCCATTGAAAATGCTGAACGAGAGGGACTTTGGCAGCCAACTGCAGCTAATTCTTTTCTATCCCTTCTGCTTTATGCTTCTTTTTCAAAAATAACCAGCTCCTCCCCCCTTCGTGCCTACCATCAAGTCCGATGATGACACCTCAAATTTTGATGAACCAGAGAAGAATTCACGATTTGTGCCCCCGGTGTGCCAGCTGAGCCCTGCAGGCTTCTCAGGAGAAAATTTGCAATTTGTGGGGTTTTCCTTCATCAAGGCATTGGGGAGCCTCCGATCTGAGTAAGTAGGAATTGCTGTCTGTAAAGGACGAATAAGAGAAAATACGTGCTTCGTATACTTGTGGGGTTGGGGGGGAGAGTCAGCATTTGACTGGTCTTCCGTCTGCTATCAGAAGATGATTCAGGGTTCTCTTTAGCTGTGATTCATGTTATTGGTTCCCCCTCCCCTCATATTAATATACAATGGGAAACATTCATTATGAGACATGTTAATAGAATCGGTCTTGGCCAAAATCTGTCTGCAGGAAAGCAAATGGTTCTGTGTGTGTGTGTGTGTGTGTGTGTGTGCGCGCGCGCATGTGGCTTTGCAGCAATTTAGGACAAAATCCAGGGAGCTTCAGGTGTTGAAGACGGGGGTGTGTTTTGCCGGTGTGAAATGGCCAAGGCTGAGGCATTGCTATAGGTCTGCAAGGTTGGTCCAGCGAGCCTCAGAAGTGTGGAGTTGCTTCATCTGGGAGCAAGACAGTGGTTCAGGTTAACCGCTGAGATTGTGAACAGTTTATTGGCAGAACTCATTGTCAAAAGAGGCATAGGACCTGCAGAATCGATGATGCAGATGTCCACAGCGATTGGCCGTCTTGGGGGAATATAGAAGGTCCTGTGTAGCAGCACTGAGGTGATGTAGCAAAGAGTTATCAGTTGTATAATGATACCTCCTCTGGTTTGGTGGGCCCCTGATTCTTTGCTGCTGCTGCTGCTCGGAGGATAAGCCAGAGCGTAGCATGTCCAATTTGAGAATGGTAATTGAAGTGCCGGTAGAGACGCTTTGCTTGCTTTGGGATCCCATACAGTGGTCTTTCTTTTTCTCCCCTTTTTCCTTGTTTCGGTTCATTGCCAGCATTGTCACAGGGCTGAAAGTATACCCAAATCAGGGATCTTTATTGCTGCTGTGGGCTTTGGTGGTATGTTTGCATGACGGCTTGCTTAGAAGAGGAGCCTGAAAACCACATTTGGTTCCTCTCCTGGCACCAGCGATGTTCCCAGTGCTGTGAGTCAGAGAGGAACCTTAAATAGGCCAGCAATTAGAAGGGAGCTTCTTGACTGCCTGTGGTGTCCTCCTACTCGCAGGTGTCGCTTCTTTGGCGGGGGTGGAAGACAAGGGACTACTGAAGGGAACTGGAAGGTGGTAGTGTTGCTTCTGCACCAAGTGGATCAGCCTCTCTTGACGAATTCTGCCTTCCCTTTTGGCACTGACACTCCCCAAAGCCATTGTGAAATCCAGAGTGCTGTACCAGCAAGAGCATTAAAAAATGGTGGCAAAATTGGGAAAGTTCCCTCTTTATAATGAGCACCCGGAATGCATTTGTCTCTGTTGCAGTGAGTTCTTACCTGTATGATGGGCTGGTAAGCAGGTAAATTCATGTAGACTGAGTCTGTCAGTGGCTATTTGCTGAAGCCTCCATGTTCAGATGCAGTATATCTTTGAATACCAGATGCTTGTGATGAAGAGGAGGGAAGAGTTGTTGCTTTCAAGTTTTTGGGCTTTTCTTTCAGGCAGGGCTTTTGTTGGTTTTTTACTATTGCTTTTTAAAAAGCAATTTTATTCAAGGGAGATTAATATATGAAATGTAAATTTAAAAGTACAGAATAAGGATCATTTGAAGTTATGGTTTAGCCATTGAAATGAAGGGAAGTAATGTGCTAAATATCTTTTCCCACCAGCAAACTTTAATGTGTTGTGTGTTCTAAAATCTCTGTTCAATTCTAGTAGAAATATTGAATGACTAACACCTTTTGTTTGAATGTTATCTCTGTAATGAAATTACTAGTTAACTTTAGGCAGGTCTCCCCACAGCCCTCTCTCAGACTGAGGCCCCCATCTGCAATATGCATTTAATAGCATTGACCTACACTGCAGGGTTGTTTTATGGATTGTAATAAGATAATGTATGGGAAATACTTTGAGCATTTGAGAAAACTATTTGAATGCTATTTTTAGCAATAAATTATATATAGGCAATCCCCTGCCCCGGTACTAGGAAGATAATGTTTGGGTTATGGGGTGGCATAGAAATGGAAATAAATACGTAAATAAATAAAAGTAATACTGTCCTGCCCAGAAAGTTAAGATATGATCTCAAGTAAGCTCTATAATTGGTTTTTGGCATTTTTGAGTCATGTCATTGGAACATTGGAAGTTGAGTGGTAGGTACAATGGCACTGTAACAGAACTCATGTTGTAATAGTGTGACAATAGCTGATGGAATTGTGTTTGTGTCAAATGGTTTTCTTATCTCTGATGTGTACAACATGGAGAAGACCATTCCTAGACGTATTACAAAAATTGTGGATGAGTTGGGGTGGAGCTAATTTGCTGTTGAATGATTGGGAGGCAGTTTTTGGTGACCTGCTCACAAGTTTCAGGATGACTTGGAAGTGACTCAGTTGGCATTTAGGCTTAGTAGTCATAAACTTTGCTTTCAACAGCAAATAACATCAAAGGTGAAAAATATAAGCATGTCCATATTCCAGTAGAGGAGGTATTATGTTAAATACATTTATTGTTGAAACCAATTAACTACCTCCTAATTGTAGTGCTGCATCTCCAGGTGATGCCATTAAAAAGTAATTAAAAGTAACTTAAAGATCAGGCAATTACGATTGTTTGGAGCAATCCCTCCAAACTCCATTTGTCTTTACTGAGTGAGTTTGCATGATCTGGTAACCCATCCTGTAAACAAGCTCTGTAGTATGGGTTGTTCATGAAAAAACCCAGTGTGCCTAACACAAAATAATGGATGGGAACTTGTTATGGGTTGTCCTTGCACTCCTTGCTCAGGCCTCCCACAATTGTGCCAGGGGATTCCTTGGCAGGACCCAACTTGTTGTTGTCTCTTCATCCGCTCACCATGGCTCTTAGCCTCTTCAAATTGTCCAAGAAGTAAACTGTAATATACTTTTTTTGGTCCAAATCTTCTGGGGGGTTTTGTATTTATTTTTATTTTTTGACAGGGGTAGTTGTGTGGGTGCACAACTCTGGCTATTCCTGATCTACAGAGTTTCTTCTCATGACTTGTCCAGGAGGCACAGTCCATTAACTAACAAAGCAAGGCTACAAACAGATTATTTTCTTGCTTTTCTTCCCATTTGACAGCTATCAAATGGTGAGCTGTCAAGTGAGAAGCAAAGCCACGAGGGGTTCTTTGCTAGTTAAAGGGGGTGCCATGCATAACATGTGTATATAGTTTGGGGACTTCTGTACTAAGACTCAAAGTGGAAAAGTGCAAGCTACTGCATTTACAGGAAAATGGAGCTTTGACAGCTGTCAAAATTCAGATTTCCTTTTAAAATGGACTGTTTGTGCTAATAAGTTTTTGTGTTTGCTTTTTGTCATCTTTGGGGGTTTTTTGTGGAGGGACGGTGCATATGCAGATTTCATGCCATGTATTTGCAATCCTAGGAATATATCTATACTACAAACATCAATTCATTTATACTCGCTTAAATGAAATGGCTTCCTCCAAAGAATCATGGTATTCGTAGCTTAGTGAGGGTGCTGAAAATTCTTCATTAGAATTCCTTGGTGGTCCTCATGGAACTATAGTTCTGAGGCCTTCCCAAGGGAGAGGGAAATGACTGTATTGTGTTCTGTGTGACACCAATAGTGTTGATATACCCCGAGCCATATTCAGGAAACAGATTTTGGTATGCTGGATGTATGTCGGATCTTTTTCAATCATCTGGCTCTTACAACTACCGAGATGAAATGAAAGCCATGACATTGTGAATAGAAATGGTTTATAAACTTGTCCTTCAAAATAATGAGAGAGGTGCTTACAAGATGGCCACACATCTGGAGGGAATTGTGTTAATTGCCCTTCTCATATTTTACTCTTGATCGTACTTTTGTTTTGTATCACTAATGATGACTGCTTGCTTTGGGTGGAAAATTAGAAGCTGAACTCCACAAATCTTTATAGATGTTTCCATCTATAAAAGTGTTTGGGTCATAATGTCTTCCTGCTTGCTAGTGAGCATTATTCTGCACCATTTTTAGAGATATTGCTATAGTGCTTTGTAAAGGATGGCGGATGTGGTCCAACACTTCCAGAAGTTGGGAAAGGCTGATACAGGTAAACAGCTGAATGCAACAGTGATATATTGGAGTTGCTAACATCTGGGTTTTTTTGAGATGGGTCAAGCTGCATGTGACACTAAATGTACAGGTAAGTTTTTATATCAGATATTTTTTTCTTAATCCACCATGTTTCCATTTTATGTGTTATATTTATATCTCACCTTTCTTCCTTCCAAGGAACTTTAGGTAGCTTACATAATTCTCATTCTCACAACAACAGGCCTGTGAGGTAGGTTGGGCTGACAGTCTGCAGCTAGCCCTAAGCCTCTTAGTCTGGTCCCTGGCTGAGTGAGGACTAGAATCCACATCTTTTGAGTCCCAGTCCCCCATTCAATCACTGCACCATGCTGACTCCCATTTTGAAAGGGTTGAGCATGTAGGGAGAAGAGAACTAACCATTCTCTCTCTAGTCATGATTTGAACAAATGGTCATCCCCCACACAACTGTGAATCTCTCACTGGCACCATTTAGAAATTTCCCTCCAAAGTTGCATGCCCATGTGGGCTGGATATGGGGATTTTCATTGGAATTGCAACTGGGGAGGGAAGGGTTAAATCTCATCTCTCCACACATTCCACACAATAGGGTCCCCCATGCCTGTTGCTAAAGTATGAAATACAGTCTGGTTTAGTTCTTGACAATATAAGGTGTATCCTCAGATGCCATTGATTAGGTACTGAAAATGACTAGTGATGCTGGTTCAGTGCAACCCTGAAACATAAACTGAGCATCTAGAAAAGCCATAGTATGCAGGGTAATTTTATATTAATAAACATTGGAAATTTAAGAACCGTGCTTATGCCTTGATCTAGTTTGATGTAAACAGAAGTGTGCTAGGTAAGCGTTCCAGCATCAAGTATGGTAAGAACTAACAGAAGTCAGTATATTGTAATAAAGAATGGCACTCACAGGATGTTCTTGT